GTGCCAAAACTAGTTGGAGGCTGTTCTGGACTAGAAAAACTCTTTTGACTTGCAAGAAAGGCATCTGTAGCCTTAGATATCAAAGAAATCATGTTCAAATTTACATCCTTGTCGCACTTCACTCTGGCTGAAGCTCCAAAGTGAATCTACCATTAATTTTCCTGTGCAAAATCCCACTGCAAAGTCACCCATCAACAAGTTTCTTGGCCAGAGTGAATTTATAGCGAAAAGGAAAAACAGAATGTGTTTCAATTACCCTTTCGGGGAAACCATTTCCAGTGCTAATCCTAGGCTCTAGCAACTTTGGCTCTCGGCCACCAAAGTGCAGCCTGTTGCCGCCGCTTGGATGGTGGAAAATGTAAATCGCAATGCCAAAAAAAAAGGAGAAAAACCAAACTGAAATCAGAGCCAGTCCAATTCATTTCGACGGCTGCGTGACAAGGACACATTGGTTCGGTTTGTCTGGACAATGGCGCGCGGCTGGTGACGTCGTCGCCTGCTGGTCGCCCCATGTTGATGTCATAATTCCTTCGATGCCCCATACATTTTCAGCGGGGCATTGCATGCCGCGACTTCATTTACTAACAGCGACAGGACATAATTAAAGAATGTTTACGCACGCTTCCGTTTCCGGTTACCATTTCTCTGCTGGTTTTGGTTCTTTGGTGTTTGTTGACTCTGCTCTGTGTTACTGTGTGTACTGCTTGGCCAAAGGTCATGTCATGCGTTGCATGCCACTACTAGAGGCAGCCATAAATTATGTTTTCGATTTTTACAACTTGACACATTTTTGCAACGGCCTCCACACGGCTCGAACTTGGGTTTACAACCTGCTTATCTTTTGCATCGAACCCCAAACCCCGTGCACATCATAAAGCGTGTTTTTATTTCCATGCCCTTGCCCGCCCATAAATTTTGTCTTGCCAAAAAAAAAAGAGGGGAAAAAAGGAATGGAAAGTGTAACAATATTTTGTGAGCCAACAGTTGTTTCGTCTCCGCCCACAAAATGGCCTTTAATTAGTTGAAATTTTCGCCTGGAATGCTAATTGAAAAACTTTTCTGCTGTGCAGCCACAGCTATGAAATATTTACGGTCTGTGGGCAAAAAGTACCTCCGACAATCCACCGATGCTCAATAAAATGAGAAAAACCGCTCATTGAGGGGAAACCCATCCGCGAAAAACAGAAAGTCGGTAAATGTCAGCAGAGAACGTGAGTCTCTGTTGACTCGATTTTAATTGAGTTTTATTACGTTTACGCAATGGTGAGGTACACGCGTGGCTGCTGCTGGCAGCTCCCTCTGGAAACCAATTAACTGTCAGGGGCATTCGACAAGCCACCTCTCTAGCTGGTAATAAACATAAAACTTTATCCTTGCCCATACGATACGTATCTGCAGCTTCCTGGGGCAAATCAATCGCTACAAATGCGCTTGCAAATGCTGGCGTTGCAAGAAGAGAGGCAAGGCATAAATATTGCTTTCACAATGGATATCCTTCCCCCTCACTCACGGGGATTATTCTGCACTGTATACACTGATGAAGGAGGTATTTTATGTGTATATTTTATGGCTCATGTGGGATTCAATTGCCTTAAAATGAAACTTAAATATATTGTGTGTTGAATAACTTTATTTAAACACATTTTCTGGGGTATGCATACGGAAAACTTGCATCACTTAATGGTTATCTGCCATGTTCGGGAATGTCGTAAAAGTAAACTAGAGAAATGCCAAACTGTGCCATTAAATGTGACAATAAAACATTTCAAATGGTTAGTACTATACGCACTTCATTTATAAATCTTGTTTTTTCAAAGAACTACTGAATTCTTCGAACCACTTTTACGGTTACGAAGTAACAGAGCCATTGCTGCCCTACCATAATTCCGTTTCGATCATCAGATTGCAAAAGCACGAACAATCAATTTAGCAGCCAAACAATGCATAAAGTACGTACTTTTTTCCAGCAATCACTTGCACTTGACTGCAATTTCAGTGCAGCTGCAGGTGGCCCCAAACGGTAAGCTGAGAACAAAAGCTGCTGAGAGTGGGCAAAGAATTTCATTCTACTGCTTGACTTTTACAATTTACAGGTCAATGAACCTGACTGAGCACGTAGCGGATGTGGAAGCACCCGGAGAGAACTATGACAGCAATTTGTGGATGTCTCTCCCTGCACGTGTCCCAGAATGCAGCAGCAGTGGCGGCAATAACAGCAACAGCAGTGGCAGAATTATCATCACCATCTTCAACAATCAGCCCTTTGGTTGAGGGTGTGGCAAATACAAAATATCCTAGGCGGCAAAACAAATATTTCCCAAGGATTGCGAATACGTCATTCTCGGTACGTGACTCCCTGCGGGCGTGGAACAATAAAAATATTTATGTTAATTTGGCGCGTACTGCATAGCCACGTATATAAGTCATCCAGCTGATTAACATAAGAAATCTGCAAGTCGCTCTAAAATGCTAACGAATGCCAAAGACAAATGTTATTCGCGCACAACGAAAACTTTGTTGAGATTCTAATGTCATTAGCAAGTGAAGGATGTTCTTTAATGTTGTACCGCTATAATGTTGTTAAACAACTGAATAAAATATTTGTGTATTGTGTGGATAATATGCAACAACATCAATTTCTGGGCAAGTTTCAAAGTCTTTTCTTGGTTAAATTTGCACAAAATTCAATTCTTTTTTTCGCATACCAAATTAGAAAAGTAGAAAATTTAAGCTTTTCCAAGCTCTCTAACATTAACATTTAATTTAAATTTTTATAAGAACTTACGTACTTCAGCTTAGCGAAAACCATCTAATTTCACAGACAATTACCCCCGCACAAGTGTCTGGAAACTGAAACTGAGAACAACTTGGATTGTAGAAATTTCTACTGGCACAATATTATGACTATGGCATTGCACGCATATTTACACGTTCACAGAGAAAACAAAAAGAAAGACAATTTCCAACTAGGGGGTAGAAATGTTTTCGTTTCGTACTCCACTGCGAATGCGTGTTTTCCTCGGTAATTGTTTGCGTCAAAAGTTTCAGGTCTGAAAGTATGCAACATAAAAGAAAGCAGAGAAACATAAATATCCAACGGTGTGTAATATCTGTAGAATTGTTGTAAATATACTTCGTGATTATATTCCAGTCCCGTATTCAATACATTAATCATTAATAGCAAGAAAATTAAATAGATAATAGTTTAGTTAAAGTTTACAGAGATCAACTTTCACAATGGCCAGCCCCTGAATTTCTCTGATAATCATCAAAATATATTAAAGAAAACATTTTATAAATTTGTTTGTAGTCAAAGTAACATTTAACTTGCCCTTTTCCAATCAAATGATCACTCATAAATTTCTATCCGCTCCTATAAATTGATGTTTTGGTAAAAGAAAAACACTGCTAGCTTTAGAAAACTAGGTTTAAATAATTAAGCAGATGCTGAATACGCGCTGCAACAGCAGTTATAAATGATTCAAGCAATATTTTTTGGTCGAGGGCGCTCTGTGAATTCAAAATCAATGTTTTTTATGTTGGCGCCAAGCTGTCCACAAAAATAAAAGGAAGCCAGCGACTGAACACAGACAGACATGAGGCAAGGCTGAGGCTGGGGCAGGGTCGAGAGCATGGGATGGGGATGGTTCTGGGCATGCTTTGCGGATGCTGTTGCTGTGGCTAGGGGCGCCACACTGGCGACAGAACGCACCCATAGACAAAAGCTGCAGAACTATTTGAACTGGCGACGACAGAACACAAAATGTAACGCATGTAGGTCGTCTTGGCATTTGTATCTGTATCTGTTTCTGTGGCTCTGTGCGGATGTGTATGTATATATCTGTGTCGGAGTAGCCTTCTCTGAGACAGAGTATCCAGAGTATTTCTGTGAGTGTGTATATCCTGTATCTGTATCTGTATCTGTATCTGTGTCTGTGGTAAGACAAACAACAACTGCCAGCGCATTAAAGTTACTGTTCATAGCCAAAAAAAATAGTCAGTCGGTGGTGTCTCTGGGTGTGTTCTGTGCTTGACTTAATGGGCCAACATGTCGTCAGGCTGCCCCATACTCTGCCTCAACAATAAAAACCAACAAAGTTTCCCTATTATTTTTGGCCTGCGTGGACACTGACTGACTTTGGACTCTTCATAGAAAACAATTTCTGCAGACATTTTGGCAGCAGCTTACTATCAAGAGCAGTGGACAGCGGAACTGAGACAGACACTCCCAGATGAATAGAGTGTAGGCGAGTCCTTGGTCAATTCATGCGTTCCTCCCACTGCTTTTTTTGTCCTAAGGAATATTTCGATTTTATATAATTGCCGCAGCATTTTGCACAACCCCCCCAGCTTTCGCTTTTAACGCATAAATTTCGGATTTCAGCCCAAAATGAAAGTTCTCGCAGTCGATGTCAAAGTGATTTAAGTGCTAAACATAAATAATTGAATGGTTGCAGCAGGGCAGTGTTTGTGCGGCTTATGCATATATCGAGAATTAATGGACAGCCATTTGGTGGTCAGAGTAATTAACGATTTTCGGCAGAGTGTTTTAGGGTAAAAGGATTATGATGTGGTTTTGTGAGTAAAACACTTATGAAAATTAATATGCAATTTAATGCTATGACTAAAATTAAGGATTTGAGAGTAAACTTACTTAAGATTGAGTAGAAATATAATAAAGTTCGTGCTTTTATGTTTTCTAGTGAAAATAAGCAGAAGCGTTCGACTATCTTTAATCCTGATAGTCTGATACAATATACATAATCTTTTTACTCCCTTAATCTAATTTCCGTTTTAGTTAACCCATTTTTTCCACTTTCTTTACGCTGGCTTAAACAATTTGCAAGTGGCAGCAAGAGGGAGGGATTGGGCAGCGCTCAAAGTATGAGGTTGAGGCTATCAAAACATCCACCCATCCAACTAAAGTGTTCCAAGGATTAAAGCTGCAGCATACAGCTGAAGATTTAAGCTCCAAATGAAAAGTAAGCAAAGTAAGGCAATATTTTTGATAAATGTAAGGCTTATATTTTCATAGAAATTAAATAGAAATACAAAACTAAACGCAAAAACAGTTGCCGGACAGATGGGGCGCCTGTGGACATAACATTACTTATATGGCATAATAGAAAAGAAACATAAGGTACTCGTACTTTTAAGGATGCTTCAGATGAATGATTCGACTAAAGTTTAGTGTCTGATGAGGTGGACGATGAGCAGACTGATGGCAGCGACTGCCAGAGTGTGTTGTGGCCCCAGGAGGGAGGTGGCACCGTTGCAGCCCTCCTCGTTGCAGGTGCATATGGTTTGCTTGTATCCCTCATTGTCGGCAGTGAAGCAGGCATTCTGCATCTTCTCCTCGATCCAGCCGCAGCCTCGCTCGATGCGATGCTCCCCGTTCACCTCGAACTTCAGCACAGTCTTGCGGCAGAAGGCCTCCTTCTCGCCACGGGGCGCACAGTCCTTCAGAAACTGGTCATCACGCTGGGCCCGTGGTGTATTCACCAACAAACTGGAACAGTCCTCATTCAAATGGGAGTTGCACTGATGGCATCGCAGGGCGTCCACTGAAATTGCAGGAGAAGACAAATTAATTGGATATTTGCAACCTCTAATGGCATTCAAATGCCGCGATTCGCCCTTTTCAAACTCCTCGACACTTTGACAGTAAATTATTTTATTAGCCACCCCAGCCCCAGCCCTGTCAGCCACTATGTCAGCTCCTGACTGACAAACCGACTCCAAATCGGTGCCCCTCCGTCAAAGGACTGCAGTAACCTGAATAATTGCATGTCAACTGCCAGGAGGCACAGCAAAAAATACTCGTAAATGCCGAAACATATCCAACTGCTGGCCCGCGAGAAGGATGTCGAGAGGCGTACAAAAAACTTGACTTGCCCTTGCTTGATGGAAGAGCTGCAGCGAAGTGTGATAGCCCTTACGTGCGATTTATGTGTGGTTTTCCGGATATTGTAGCTAATTTTATTTAAATGAATATGTCTGTTGAGTACTTCTGGCCTCTTTGAACTCGTTTGAGTTCCTTTTCTCTACTTATTTGATAGCCGGCGGAGGAAACTTTTATGTAGGCATTCAGCTTATTCAGCTCAGTACGGTATTAGTTTCAGTCACAGTCTCTCATTGGAAAGAGTATTTCTCATGTCACTATTCTCAAAAAAGAACACTCACCCGCCAAAGGGCAAGGACATTTGAAGCAAAACGAAGTCAGACATAAGTAATGGTGGTTTCTGATATTGTAGTTGTAAATTTGAAATACTCGTATGCCTGAACCTGTCAGGATCACAAATGTCGAGCGTTTAGTGAGGCGTATGCAAAATTGGATGGGATTGCATGGGAAAGTGAAAATGGAGGAAATTAGACGCCTCAACTGCCACTTTTTGTTTGGTAATTAAGCCAAATAAAAACAAACATTAAGTAATTAAAAAGCACCTGCCATAACAATCTGCAGTTGCAGTTGCAGTGTCGAGTTACATTTAGAATTTGAAATCGGATACGGAATTTGCATTTCACTATTTCCATTTGCATTTTACATTTGCTGCATATTCAAGCGGTTTTTCAGCAAACTTGAACTTGCGCGAAAAAGTGAGGGTGGGGAGAGGGCTTGGTTGGGGCACTCAAGCATGATAGCTGTAACCCGCTCTCTTCCCATCTCTGTGCACCCACAACTGTTGCCTTTGTTGCAAGTTTGCGGCTGACAATCGAACGCTAATGAAACGCGCTGCTCTTTGCCTTGGAAAGGGGGGCATATAGGGATGCGGGATTGTTGGCTGGGAAAGTGGCGATTACTTGACGCTGGAATGCCCATAAATGTGAATATTTGCATTACTGATTATAGCCGTATAGCCATATGTTCGCGTGCAAATAGTTTCATATAATTTAACGCCGTTTAAATATTCCCTTAGCAGGTGAGTGCGAATCAATTTGCTAATTTGTAGAGAGATTTGCATGTACTTGGAGTATATTTAAATATTTAGGTACGATTATTGTGAGTTTTTATGAAGGAAAACAGTATCAAATGAGCTGGAGAAAGATGACCAAATGTGGATTAGATTTAAGGCAATAACATTATGGACTTGAAGATGGATGGCCTGATGTAGGTATACAAATAGATCAAGACTCATGGATAGATTTATTTAAATGAGGAAGAGATTTGCTAGGTTTGCTTTTCTAATCGGAGGCTACTTCTCCATCTCATCCCAAAAACAAATACGAGCATTCAAACCCGATTTACCACATGTCTAGAATTTTATATTCTCTATGTCAACCCTCATAACCGCTTAACCACCTGCACACCTATCAATTACTCCAACTAAATTTATCTCTAGCACCTACTTAAATCAATGATCAAATATTGGCTAGCCATTCATCATCTGGCTTGGCTTGCACCTCAATTATGGTTTCCTCCACTTGATTTCGCAGCAGCTAAATGTTTGCCAGAGAAAGGAAAAATTTGTTCGTCCATTTATCAAAAGGAAAATCCGTATTTTTGGCTCCAACATTGGTAAATCAATTAAATGTCTGCAGTTTGATTTACATTCGACATTGCAAAATGAATACTGAAAAGCCAAGCAATCCGTTTTGGTGACTCACAGCCACCACACACCCACACAACAAAGTGAAAAGTGTTTGGCATGGCTTTCCACATCATCGCGTTCAACTGCCCGACGAGATGCGGTTGATTTCATTTGATTTAAGTCCCAAAGAAAGCAACCAATCAATTTGCCAAAATGAAAACTAATCAATTTGCTTAATACAAAGCAAAGAACAACTCAATTTGCTTGTTGCGTGTGGCCCAATTGGAAGTGTCTTTAATGTGATTAATGAACAAAAGGCAGCTGGCAAATTCCGCCACCCCCAATATCTCTACAGCGAATGTACTAGACCCGAACTGATTAAATAAACTTGTAAAGCATACATTATATTTACATACACTATTTACTATATATTATATATTTACCTGATAAGAGATTGATGATCATTGCAATGCACACGGCGTAGGCGAGGCTTGTCGTTGACATTTTTGCGGTTATTTCTTGAAATATTATTGGGATGTAGCGGCGAACTTGATCTCCAATCTGAGGTTTATCCTTTGTTTGGCGTATCCAACCTTCTGTCTGGAACAGATAGAAAATCTATTATATTTATCTGATATTTTGCTTTGTTTGTGATTTGATTATCGCGGAAAGCGGCAGCATTTTTACAATATATAAATTAGTGTATGCTGTTTTTATTTACACTTCTGTAAACCGGTATGAGAGCGTGATCGCGCAACGTGACAAGTGTTAATATTTTACTAAAGCTTCTTTATTTGTTTCAGAGTTCTTAAAATATATTTTATATATTAAATAAAAAATTCATCTTATTTGTATAAAGGTGGTTGCGGAAAATGTGCATTTTTCCTTTACTTAAAGTAGGTCATGTCAGTGTATTTGTTTTTTATAAAATGCAACCAATTTCTGAACTTAAAAATACAACCAAATAGTTTCCCGAAATATACGCATTTTTTTTAACACAACTGCTTTTATTTTTTTACTGCTCTAAGTTATTTTTGAATAATTTTGTAAAGAAGTTTCGTTTTCAATAATATATTCAAGAAGCTTGGATTTTATTTAATAATTCCAATAAAGAAATATTTCTCGGAGACTTTAATCACGCATATTGTAACTTTGCTCTGGCAGACGACAGACATACAATAATTTCACAAATTTCATTCATATTTCCAAAAATTTTAAATTCTTTTGCACCCTGTATAAGTTTATTCACCTTTAACAAATAAATTTGATAAACTCGCACAATATTTGTGTTTATATTCATAAGTAATATTACAAAATTCGCAATTGTTAACACATAATCGGGTTGTTGTAAAGATTACTTTATTTGTGTGTGGAGTGTAAAGAGCGAATGGATAACTTGACGCGGGCACCGTCGAGATGAATCTGAAAACTCGTATTCAATATTTCAGAAGTCGTTGATTTTTCAAAAAGACTGCTCAACGAGAGACAGCGCCTGATCAGCTGAGCCGGAGAGAGAGAGAGCGAAAATGAGAGAATCAGATAGGGAGAGACATTGTGGTAGCATAAAGAGCGTATTAAGGCAGCAAATGGGAAAAACTTCCGTCACCGGATCGTCTGCTCGGGGTCGGGGTCTGTCTTGAAGCCCCTTTGCTTTGAAAGATTGGGAGAAGATCTCTCGCCGGGGAGAGAGAGATGATGCTACTTACAAGGTAAGTGCATTGATAAGCTCCGGCTTCAGTTGGTTTCAGCTTGGGTCTTAAACAATAAATGACAAACAAAACAATAATGTAATTCAAATCTACCGCTTTCAACCGGTTCAAACCGCTGTGACGTCACTGCAGCCCAGACAACAAAAGACAACTTTGCCCAACCAAATTGACATCTCATTAGCCGATATTAACCCCATTTGAATACCTGCTTCCGAACGGCCAATCTCCCAAATAATTAGCAGGTGAATCCCCAATTCTAGTTGATTGTTTTGCTAGGAGTACGCCAGGAATTGATCTACTAGAAAACGACGCTGCTGGTTGCGGAGGTCGTTTTATAACAGTGCTGCTCTACACATTTTTCCCGCACTCTTATCAGCGTTGGGCGATTAGTTAAAACTGGTATGTGCCTCCAAAAACTCAGTTGTGTTGGTTTGGTCTAGTGCCCAACCATAAAGAGTCTTATTCTTAATTGAGGGAAAAATTAAAGAGATAGATGGCCGGATTCACATGAGTGTTGCTTATCATCTGTCCTAGTTCAGGGCAGTTTCAGTTTCACAATAACATTTTTCTTGCCTCTTCGCTGCAAGTGCTTCATCTTTTAATTTATTTCATTATTATTCGGTTCTTTATTCATTCATTACGGTTTCCAATTCTTCAAGCCATGCAACTATGTAAATTTGTAATTTTCCGCTCTGCTCTTGTGCCCATAGTCCAAGCAAAGCGAAATGAGAGCCGTGATCAAACGCCTCGCCTCAGTCGCCGGTTTTAGCCAGTTTAAAGCGGTTTACAGGTAAAACGCTTCGGTTTATGACGTGACCGTTTGGCCATAAAAGAGTAGACCATTTTTTTGAAAACGTAGAAATAAAGGACAAAGGGTTATTTTTAGAGAACGATTCTCTCCAAAAAAAAGTATGCCTTAAAAACAAAAAATTACAAATATGTACATTCATATGTAGGTCATCCGTTTGTACGTTTGATGGACATGTAAAAACGAGTTTAAAAAACTATTGGAATCTTTAATGATTATTAAAGTCCATTCAAATGTTGTTACAACTTTTGTATACTATTAGTTGCAGTACTCACAATAAATATCACTTTGAATGTCACTTTAAAGTCTCTAAATCTGCACACCCGTATTTACATGTGTACTTTTGAAACACTCAAATAGCGAAATAGCTCAACCGAAAGTAAGCGGAACCAAACGCATGCAAATCGAAGGTGTAACTAAATTCTACAAAATTTTTTGTCTTTGGCTGTGCTGCAAATGGCATTGAGATCGCAACGATCCACGGAATCAGCTGTTCTTCAAGTACTGAAAACACACACACTTTGATTGCGTTATTGGTAGGTCAGACTTTGGATTCGAATTATGAAAACAAATTCTTGTTTTTGGAAACCGGTTTGATTTGAATCAGCCAAATCAAGTGATTGTCTGTCTGTCTGGATAGGTAACGACCCTTCCCCTTTATAGCCACCCCGAACATGTGTCGCATTTGAGCACCAGATTAATTGCACAAAAAAAATACAAAACTTAATGTGCTTCCCTTAACAAAGTAAACCAAATAAAACGAAAGCTAACGAAATGAGCGGTTTGAGACAGTCACAACAAGGGGAATTTTATTGAAGCACAAGACCCCAGTATTAACCGTTTCTTTCACCTCTTGAAAGCTTAACATTAGAAAGCTTAGAATATGGAAGCTTGCGCTTAGAAAGCTTTATTCGTTAGGAGCCGTTGAGTATTTAATAACCCATGAACATTATGATATCTGGAGTAAATCGTTGTACATTTATTTATAAGTAATCAGATGGGATTGATATATAATTGTAATTTATGGCAGGACATTTCGAGAATTACCTCAACAACTTTACCTGTTAACAGAACTTTTTAGTGATCTGTTTTAGACAGTTTCATGTGTCCTTTATTCATTAGAAAATAATTAAGAGGAACACCTTAACACACACACACACAACATAAAACCATAATAAAATTTTTCCAAAAAAAGGAATCAGGTATTCGAGCAGGTAAAAATCGTTTTTCTTTATGTCACCTACAATGGTCTTCAAGGCCAGCAGTCAAAATCTCTTCAAAGTCGTACACGCTGTCTAGAAGCATTACCTTAATAGGTTCTACGTACTTTAACCCTAAGACAAATGTGTATCCCACTAGAAATACATATCTATTTATAGCTACAGCATCAATTGAAAGGAGAGTGACAAAAAAAGACAGTGAGAAGAGATCCCAAGGAGAACTACTCCCAAAGGGCAAATCCCTGTATCAATCTCCCCATGGCTTCTTTAATTTTCGCGTTGATTGGGATACAAAGGCAGAGCTAGAGGCACAGCCCAAGCCAAAATGATCCGCAAAAGTATGAATAAACTGATCAAGTGAGAATGAGTGAGAGAAAGCGAGTGATGAGACCCCTAATTCAATTGGCCAGCGACTTGGGGACACAATTTGTGAGACTTTTGATAAGCTCGAAGAGGAAGCCTGCGATTAAGCTTAATTAATGCACTGGTCTGATTTATGCTAAGCTTATGATCATACACGATCATATTCACGTATGCACATGCTCATGTACGTAAGATACTTATATGAGTTCTTGGGCCTTTCACGTGTGCCTGCTGATTAAGTGTCTGGACGGCTCGTTGAAGTGGCGCTCAGGGTTAGGCCATGGGGCTCAGTGCAGTGGCTTCTCGTCGCTTAATTGCAGGCTGAAATTACTTGCGAGTCTCTCGGAAAAGTAAACTGCGAAATTAGAATTAATTAAAACTTATGCGAACGAAAATTAAGACAGTGAAAATGTGATGGTGTGCGGAAAACGAGAGTGAGACAGATCCAACTATGAGAAAATATTCTGGTTATCTTTAGGAAGATCTTTTAAGGCTCTAGCTGCAGTTTTGACATTAAATAGAATATATCCTAAGAAATGGTACCACAATTTATATAATAATTTTTATATATTTTAAATGTCAATGAAATTTCAATGAGCTGAAAAATATGATCCATAACACCTGTCCATGTTGATCAGTGTAGACCCAAAACCATTTGCACTCGCGACTCTTTCGGGGCTCGGCTCCTTCCCCGTTCCCATCCCCTGTCCGTGCAGCGGGCAGACACTCATGAGAAGCAAAAGAGGACGCAGAGTGTCGTGTCGCGCACTCAAAAAGCTCTTCGCGAAAGCTTTGGGCTAGATGGGGTCTCGTCTCCATCTGCAGCCACAGCCACAGCTCCAGCTGCCAGTTGCCCCCCACATACGAATCATTCGTGCTACATTTGTCGTGTGGAGCTGCCTGCTGCCGGATTCGCCCCAGTCGTTTGTCAACCGTTTGTCAGCGTTTGCCGTGTGCGCCGTGAGCGCTTCTTTTTTGCACAAGTCAGCAAGGAAAAATAATATAATTCAATCGTTTTGTGTGTAGAGATAACCACCAGAAGCCGTGAATTGAGTCGAATCTGAAGCTCAATTGAACCAACAAAAAACAAGCAAAGCAAAACGCAGAAGAAAAGAACGAACGAATCAATTTTGCTAAATTACTTTGTGCTCACAACTAAATAGTCGAGTTCCGAGTAGAGTCGAGTCGCGTCACGTCTTGGGTGTGTTTCAATTGGAAGAGCATCATCATCATTGTAGAACTGATAACAATTAAATACAACTAAAATCAAATAAAAATGCAGTACATCTATGTGATTAGTGCGCTGATTCTGGCCATTGCCGTGCAGCAAGGTAAAAGGATAACACACCCCAAAAGGAACCCTACCACATCCTCACTTATTCGTAGATAATACCATAGCAAGCGGAAGCCCTTACATCGCGATTACGATTACATAATAAGCGATTCACTCTGCCACAGAGACACAGAGAGACAGAGAGAGAGAGTGGGAGCGTGAGTGCGAGAGAGTGAGAAATTTGGGTGGAGGGCAATGAATTGGGGAGAGCTTGTGGCGCGCCGTCTTGACGCCACCAAGGAGTATCGTATCCAAGCCGGCCGCCATGGCGCCTTTTTGTCCATCACATCCCAGCACACACTTACACCCCGCCATGCACGCACGCACGCACACTCCCTCCCGCTCAGTAGTAAGAGCATTTGCATTCCAATAGATACATATATCATGTGGTGTGTGTAAGTAAGTTCCATTCTCTCTCTCTCTCTCTCTCCGCTCAAAGCCCTGGCCAAAAAGGAACTTTTTTCTCTACTTCATTTGTTGGCAGCGTGTGGCTGGATCTCTTTCACACAGCTTTTTCCCCCCGAAAAGGAGCGGGGGCACTGTCTTTAAGGGTTGTTGTCCTGAAAACACAACCAAAAATTGGACACCTTAACTATCAGTTGTAAAACAAGTTGTAAAGTTACCCCACACACACCATCATTCAAATAACTCAAATGACAGGACTAATTACTCTGCATTTCCTTCAGCGCTTCCTGCCTTCTTTTTTGCAAAAGTGGATCAAATTTTTCCGTCCGTTTTCATATCTACGACATGTGTGTATGTGCAAGGATAGTGTAGGACATGCGCACTCTATATGGCCAAGAGTTCGGCCAGGGGCCAAATGCAGTAATCCCATGTCCCAAAAGTCTTCTTACATAAAGGGAACAAATCTTCAAGTCCCATCACAGAAAGGGAAGAGAAATCTGTGTTTTGTAAACAACATAATGGGTCTTCATTCTTGGGTTTTACTCAAAAATATAGATACATATTCTCTCGAGTATATACTTTCGAATATGCAATGCAATCAATGCAATTTGTGTGGCTATTTATAAACTATAACAAACCTTAATTTGTCATGACTAACCGTGCAAACGGTGAAAACTTTTAAAGCTTTTATGGCAAGAAATTTTCTAAATGAATATTTAATGGGGGAGCATTTTAGGACGGGAAATTGCATGTCGGAAAATCCATTGAAATTGTTCCACTTTAGGGTATTTCATTGATTAATTGATGGATTGATTTGATCAAATTGATTGCCAAACCCGATATTCACTCGGGATTACAGTTTACGTACAAATTCTATGGCTGGATTGTTACATGATGATATCTTCTATCGAGAGGTTGTTAAATAATTAATTACAATAGAGACGAGAAAAAGAGATCCCATGAATTGAGATGAGATATATATATTTTAAGTGTCCTCCGGGGAATTACTAACAGATGTTGCTGGACTTTGTTCATTCATGTTTAGGACCCCCCATAGAACTTCCTACTACCCCTTTAAATCAATAAACTTCCAAAACAAAAGAAACCCTTATGGCCAACAGAGTGAGTGCTCCTACTCGCTTTTCTATTGTTATCCACTGCCTAAAAGAAGACATTATTCCCGGCTATGACTCGCCACTTTGCTTATGTAACCCAGATAGGCTGAGAAGTATAAAAGTAGTAGGAGGAATAGGAGTAGCAAGCTGAAAACAGCAAAGTTATTGGAGTCCATTAACAATGTATGTTGAGGCTTCAATTAGCAAACGCCTCCAAAGAGACTCGCAGTCTGGCACTAATGGAGGCGTCGCTTCCATCACTGGCATCTCAACCTCAACATTTCCGTGCCATTGTGCCATTTTTGGCACAGTGCAGCGTGAGGCAAAAGCGCATCACAAGTTGCATCATTGGAGAGCAAAGAGTAGAGAGCAGCAGCAGCAGCAGCAGCAGCAGCAGTAGAAACAACCTTTATGGATCTGTATATTCGGAAGATTAAATAATGCGAATCTCGTGTCGCGCACGACCTTAAATTCAATTTAGCTAAGGCAGCAACAAACCGCCATCAAAGATCTCTCTTTATATAGAAGAATTTGTGTCTATATCATGTGCTCTGCCCTGACAACGTCTGATATTTGTTTATATGCTTTTTGCTATTATTTGTTTGCTTTTTTATGAAACTATTAAGGTTAAACGTATGCTAGGCATACGTGGAAAATTTCTAATTGGCATTAACTTGGTTTGCTTTGTGGTCAATTAAGTGGAATAGTGAGTGCCAGCAGAAAGTAATATTCACAGCATGGAGGGGAATATTGTATTAGCAAAGGTATAGTTTGCCATTAGCTAATGGAAAAAGGAACATATTGCAAGCAGAATGCATAAATGCAATTATGGAAATCAAATCAGTTGTGTGCCCGAGGAAAGTAGAAGAAAGTGCCATCAGCGAAGGGAACAATGGAAACAGAGAGTGAACAAACTACTATAACGAACCATTTAATTATATTTTTTCCAGGCTATGCCATCAAATGCTTTGTCTGCAATAGCCACAAAGATGCAAACTGTGCACTGGACATACCACCAGAGAATTTGCTTAAGGACTGCGATGAGCAGTACTCATCTCGTGGCAAGGGAATACCCACCTATTGCCGCAAAATCACACAGATCATTGAGTTCTCTGTGAACAGCCGTAAGTCTAGAGCTACAGGAAAACTTAAAGGAACATTTAAATGTGATACTCTTTTGTTTTTTCTGTTGTTGCAGTGCCCCCAGATAGCCGCGTGATACGCACATGCGGATATCAGAACCAGACTTCGACCAACTATTGCTATTCGCGTGCTGGCTTTGGTGGACGCCAGGTGGTCTGCTCCTGTGATACGGACAATTGCAATGGCGCCGCCACGATGAGTGCCTCCACAGTGGGTGTGGTGGCCATGGTGGGTCTCCTGCTGGGCGGCTACCAGTGGCTGCAGCGTTAGGACGAATGGCCGTGAAGGAGACGAGACGCAAGGAGCCGCCTCAGTTGTTTTTTTGGTTTGTTTTTCCGTTGAATCATCATCCAGCCCAACGTTTTTTCTTTTCCTATTGTTGCTGACTCTTCTAAACTTCTGTGAAACCCGTTGCCACGCTCTACACCCTCACCCTCCCATCAAGATGGTCCACACGTAGAGCTGCCACAGAGCTTGGTAAGAATCGAAATATCACAAGAAAGAGAATCAAATATCATATCTAATGGTAAATGTCATTTGCAGCTCTGTCCCAGCATGATTTTTGTAACATTTTTTAAATGGAGAACCGTAAAAAGCTTTATACGAAACATTTAATAAACGAGAATTGCTTAAGTTGTAAATGTATATAAAAAACAAAAAGAGATCATGTTACATTTGGCCAATATAATCGTTCAAATCTATTTTACACTGAATACAGATACTCGTACGGAGTATGAGTACGAGGATGAGGATAAGGATGAATTTTGAATCTAAAGTACGAGTATAATAAATAATAACGAAAACAAAACTAAAACCTACCGCAGTCAAAAAGTATTTAATGAAAACCAATTAAACCAAACGAAATAAAAGTCAAAGGAGGCCCCCAAAAACGAACAGTAATATATAAAAACTATAAATGTTAACACAATCTTTGTCTAAGTTTCTCTACTTTTATTTTCATAAGACTTACAATTAATGGAAGAAAAATCTAAAGAGATTTCTAAAGGAAAAAATTAAACCGCTAAACGAACGAAAAAGTATTTAAATGGCAGCAAAAGCCCTAAAAAAAAAAACATTAAATATAACAATGAACACACACCACACACTTTGTAGTATATTTAGAAAAAGAAGCGAAAAGTAAGAATCAAGAAAAGAAAAACCTAAACCCTAACCCATTCCCAAAATATTTGAAACACGCTTGAAGGACACACCACACAGCCAGAGGCCAAGCGAAAACCACGCCCCCCATCCAACGCACAACCCAAAATGAAACCAAAAACCAAAAAACGAAAGATAAACACTCGTTGTTGTAACCAACTGCCAAAAAACGGAAAACTTTGAGAATCGATTCATCTACCGCATCAGAAGAGGAGAAGGAGGAGCACACCGACACCAAACCCACAAATGGAGCAGCCCCCATCCCACATTAACATAAAAGGAACCAACATAATGGGACATCCAAAAGTAGTAGAACGAATGCAAAAGTTTTGTCCATTGTAGATTGATAAATGCAAGAAAATAATAAAACAAAAATTCATAAATGTATGTTAAACTTGTTACAGAAACCAAAGCAACAAATACATGATTTTTAGTTCAAAAAAATAGCAAAATACACAGTTTATAGTGACAATTTTTTAGTTAAGAATGAAATCTCCTCTAAAAATGCAATATTTATAATGCGATAAAATTGTAAAATGTTTAAAGTGAAAAACAATAAATATTAATACAAAAAACGTAATGTTCTTCAGTATTGCCCAGGCCAGGGGATTGCTTAGAGTAAAACATATATTTAAGAGCTCTTTTGCGGCACTTCCTAAAACCACGCACTCGTATCGATAATACACACGTTTACTGGGTTAAAAATGAAAATCAATGTGCGCTCAATGATAGATGAAGCCTTGAGATCTCAACCAGTGTCAATTCCACTTAGTCCGTGTGCACCACCCGCCTGAGGGCCAGGTAACAATGCTTGGTGCTCAGCTCGTGGTAGCCCACGGGTCCGCGTTCACAGTCGGCGCACACCAGAAACTTCTTGCCGTCCACGGTGTGGGAGAAGCCGATGTTCTCGAACGACAGCATGTCCTTCACCAGCCAGAAGTGCTTCAAGGGCTCCGTGTTTAGGTTCTCCGCCGTTCTGTCCTGCTTTTGCACCATCAGCGGCACATCTATCTGGCAGAATAGCTTCAGCATTAGAATTTCCCAATCAGGGATTGGATGCGTGTGCCGGCACTTACCTCCTGCTCGCTGTAGCTCCCCTCGCTCGCCTTCAACATTAAACTGTTGCAGTACTGGCAGCGCACATTGGTTTTGTTCTTGCCATCAGCTATTTGTCCGGGAATGTTGGCTTCTTCAGTCATTTTTTCTGTAATTTCAATTTTACTTAATTTTTATCATAAATAGAGATGGCCAGATATGGATAAATCAATATATCGATAGATACTCAGCTGATTTATACTTGTATGTGATAGTTTTGTGCGATAAATGGCACCCATCGGCGTTTTATTTTAAAACTTGATATTGATATCACAGCAATAACATTAATTATAGTGAATCGACCTGAACGATGTAGATCGTTTTATCTGATTATTATAAGATTGAGAATACGAGTAAACATAATATACCTAGTGTACGTTGCACGTTACACTTCGAGTGAGCGACACGCCCGAAATTAGTTTGATGACATTTTTCGCTGTAATTTTTCCAACACACAACAAAAAATCTATTTACAATGCACCACCGCACTAGCTGTAACCCCATTAACAGCGACCACCCTCGGACACCCCGTGGTGCTGTGATAAGAACTTTGCAGCCGAAGCTTCCACCTGGGAAACTCCATAGCCCAAAAGACAGTCTTGATTGACACCTGGCCCTGTCCTGGCTTATCTAAGAAGTGGCCCGCTGCAACTATAAAATCGTCGCTGCTTTGAGCCGTGCCACAGTTTAAGTCGTTGGACGCCCAAATATGTGGAAGCTTTGCTGGTTATACGTGGCCGTGGCAATTGCCTGGCTGGCTGGTGAGTTATGGACAAACTTGGACACGGCTTTGTCTCTGCTTCTGACCGACACACACAAAGACAGCTCAGCCCAGCCCAGCCAGACTGAGAGCTCTGAGAGTGCGATTTGATTCAGAGTAATTAAAGCGCTCCAGGCCAAGAATTAATTGCTGGAACAGCAACCGGTTTCGAGGATTACAAATGCGTCAGCATGCCCTCATTAAATGTGTTTCGGCTGGGCACTTGGAGAGCTCTGTGCCTTGGGTCATCATGGGGAGTACGCGGAATCGCCACAGATCAGTCGATGGGCAACGTTTAGCTGGTCAAGATGTCCTCCAATGCGCTGGCCTGCATCTGTAATGTGATCAACCCGTGCCGGAATGAGGTGTCCAATACCTTTGTGGTTATCCAGTGGCTCATCACGGGCTTTGCGGCTCTCGCTTCAGTGGTGCGGCCCGTGCTGCTGCTCTGTAAAGTGTTTTATCCACGTAGCTGGGGCTTTAGCTGATTAGTTTCCGCTTCTCTTTTGCAGTTGGCATACGTGGGGAGGTGGCTTTGAGTCAGGAGGATTACAACAAGACATGGATTTATATGCCAAATGGCGAGGGCAAGCCAGAGGTTGCCTACTTGGTGGAACCACCGCCAGAGAATCGCATCAATCTCCCGCAACTCATTAAGTTCGAGCTGTATGGAAGGTGGGTTGCTGTTGCGATTGATTCAGACTTCAATCTTCAGTCTCTGCTCCTTCCAGCGATGCCTCTCTTAGCTCCAGTGCAGACTTCTGGATCGATGACAACAACTTTGAGTTCTCGCAGCGGCACAAGCGTGACACCTGGCAGGAAATGGCTGAGAAATTCAATCCCGAACTGGACACCAAGATCCTCGTTCACGGCTGGAAGTCCAGCACCATGAGCAACTCCATTCAGTCCATTCGTGGCGCCTACATAGAGCGCGGACAGGTGAATGTCTTCGCCATCAATTGGCAGGATCAGGCGGACAATATCTACTACCTGACACCCGCACGCTACACGGTACAAGTGGGTCGAGCGGTGGCCAAACTGATTGATCTGCTGGTGGAGGAAAAGGATGCAGATCCACAGCGGATTCACCTCATCGGCCACAGTCTGGGTGCTCATATAATGGGCTATGCAGGATCGTACACCAAGTACAGGGTAAATCGTATTACGGGCCTGGATCCGGCACGTCCAGCATTCGAGGATTGCATTGGACCAGAGAATCATTTGGATGATACGGATGCCAACTTTGTGGATGTCATACACAGCTGTGCGGGCTACTTGGGCTTCCGCAAGCCCATTGGCATGGTGGACTTTTATCCGAATGGCGGTGGGCCACCGCAGCCAGGTTGCAAGGAGCTGGCGCAGATTTTTAGTGAGTAAAAAATAGATTCTCCATTTGTTACTCATTTTGGAGGCATTTTGCATTAAACTCTTCCAGCTGGTTGCAGTCACGGACGCTCCTATGAGTACTATGCCGAGTCCATCAATTCACCCAAAGGTTTCTATGGCGTACCCTGCTCAGGGCTGGACGAACTGAAGGGCAAGAACTGCACTGGCGGTAAAATCCTCATGGGTGATCCTGTGCCACGCGATGCTCGTGGCATTTTCTTTGTTAAGACCTCGAACAAGCCAAGCTATGCCTTGGGCATAGACGAAATCTTGACTTGATCTTCATGAGCTTCTGTTTAAGATATCAAAAAATTAATATTATTATTGGCATTCGAATTATTTACAACAAAATCACTTAAAATCTATGAATACAAAACGAAACCATCTCAAATGAGTTCAGGTTTAGGCTGGACTTCTTAGGCTATGACATCTGTGCGTCGTCGAATAATATTGCTGCTGCGGTGGCTGCCATTCGGCTGCAGCAGATCCTCAGGACGTGGCTCGATCTCGTAGTGCCTGTACCCATCGACATCGTCCAGTTCCTTGGAGGTAAACTTGGCAAGAAGTGTGCCGCGTCCAGCATACGGGGGGATATACTTGAATGTAGCTGCAGCTGTGCCACCCACAGGGATTTCGGTAATCTAAGGATGAAGTTTGCATTAGAATAAGTCATTCAATGGGAGCAATCATCTCCACTCACCTTAAACTTCAGTGGCTGCTCTATGCCTGGACCCTCGACGGTGAAGAGTCCCTTATGCAGTGGTATGGGCAGTGGATTGACCAGACGCAGAATGACATCCAGCTCTTTGCGTGCCACAATGCTGCCCTCACCCATCTGGAACTTGATGTCCGGCTTGCGCACACGGAAATCATCCTGCGCATAGTAATCGTAGTCCGTATCCTTGACCCGCGCAGAGGCGGAGATCTGGAAGGCCGCCTGGGAGGAGAGTTTCTCGTAGTACTCCTCGAAGATCACCTCCAAGCGGACATATTCACTGGCCTTTGGCTCTAGCTCCAGCTCGAAGCCCATTGACTTTACTTCCATGGCACCGACGCCCGTGTAAAGCACCGCATCGCAGTTGACTTGACCCGTGGCCAGGTGGGTCTTCTCCGAACTCTTATTGGTCACCTTCAGGACAACACTAAAGTTCTCGCCAATCTTGATGTCATCCTTCAGCTCCATGTCGAACTCCACCTCGTTGAAGTTGTCGTTGAGGTAGTAGCGACTGAAGGCGTGACGGGATTGCTTCAGGGCCTTCAGCATGGTGCTGCGCTCTTCCTCTGACCGCTCTGCGTGCTTGTAGCTGTCCGTGATGTCCTCGCGCTCCCACTTGAGCACCGCCTTGGTGCTGATCAGATGACCAATGGCCAGGGTGTCCTTTCGCAGCAGCTTCAGCGGCTGACTGGGTCCATTGTAGCGCCAGTAGAGCTTGTCCGCATTGACCTCCGCAAAGACAAAGCCACCGTCAAAGGGTCGCAGAATCTCTCCATGCTTCACCGCCAGCACAGAGGCAGGGCCCACACGGTACATGTTGTCCGAGGCCTCCTGGGGCGTGGCATCCACCACCTGCCAGCCATCGTAGGCGCCATGCTGGCCCACGCCTAGATCGGGCCGCTGCATCCACAGCTCGTTCCACACATGATAGTTCCAGATGGAGTCCGTGGTCTCCGCTTCCAACTTCTTGTTGTTGGCATCAATGAAGACGTCCACGGTGAGCGAGGCTTGGGTATCATGGGCAGAGGAGTAGCAGGTGACAATGCGAGCGGGAATGCCCAGACTCCTGGCAATGGTAGCCAGAACGCCACTAAAGTTCCAGCACTGAGCGAACTTCACGGACTTCTGGGTCTTGTGGAACTGCTGCAGAATCTCCGGGGAGCCTGTCCACTTGGTGGGAGCCACGCCGCCCGAGAAATCCTCCGACCAATTGCCCAGCAGCACGCCATCATCGTCCACCGAGTTGACCAGCGCGGACAGGGCACGGGCCACACGCACAGGATCGCCCCTGTAGGCTGGTGGGATCCTGCCCACGGTGCCGAGCACCTTCAGGCTGCACTCGAGGACATGCCGCTCGAACTGGCCAATCTTCCACACGGAGGGACGCAGCCGGTTGTAGGAGCCACGCCAAATGAGGGTCGTGTCGTGCATCACGTACTCCTTGCGCTGCTCGCGATCCTCCAGGTACACCTGATCCTCGGGGCACCAGGGATTGAACAGCACATAGATGGGCAGCGGCACAGGGTAGCTGCGGGAGCCATCGCCCAGCAGCTTGGTGTCGATATCCAGACGCCACTCCGTGACGGGGCATGTGGAGGGCGGTTTGATCAGCACCGTCAGCAGCGCACCTTCGTGTGTTTCAATGCCCGAACCCCATTCCAGGGTGTCGCCCAGATCGTCGATGCCGTCGTGCGGCACCAGAGCCGTCAGTGTGCCATGTCCTGGCCTGGGATTCTTGTCATCGGCGACGCTGAACACAAAGTTGATGGCATCCTTGCTGGGGCTGTAGTCGCGGTTGAATTGGATGCGCAGACGGAAGGGTTCACCTCGACGCACGATCAGCGCCTCCTTGGCCGCCGCCGCATAGAAGTGGCTCGTGTGGTGCTCATTGTGGTTATCCTCCTGGCAGAGGTCGACTCGCACTACGCCGAGCACCGCCGAATTAGCCGCATCTGTAGAAATAACACAATCAGAGATAGATTAGTCACTCGTCAGGCTCTCATTACAATCATCTGTCACACAGTGAGGATGGGGGGCCTCTGGTTGATCGGTGCTGTCTGCGATGATCTCATGAAGCAAATGGCCTGTCAGCTGCTATGTCCAAGCGATCCATGCGATCCCCTTCCTCACTGACTAATCGCCTTTGGCCATAAACATAACAAACTTGTGCCACAATGGCCAAAAAGTTCAATGCCAAGCCAATTAATTCTCTCAGTGGACGACAATCAAACAGACGCCAACGCCAACACCCAACGACAACAAAAAGCAGCAACCAAAATTAACAAAAAATAGCAGAGGAACAAGTGGAAAATAGTTTAACAAAATGTTTTCCAAGAAAGAAAATCAATTGGCTAAAATTATGTTGCGCCAAAGAAAATAAAACTACTTAAAGTTTTCGCATGTTTAATGTCAATACTTGTATAAGAGATTATTTTATACTTAAAATCCAATTAAGGAATAAAGTGAATCATAGTCAATCATAGGAAAAAAGTGTTACTCTATTTGATCAATCAAAAAGGAAATGCCTGCATCAAACCCACACACTCGTACGCCCCACAAATATGTCACTTAAAGAATTAAATAATTATTTTTAGCGGAAAAAAGAACATGTTGGCTGCAGCATAAAAGATTTCTGTCAACACAGCAAATAAGTAAAAGTAATATCGCTGCTAATCGCCCTTGTTTGAGAAACAAAAGTTTATTAAAGATTTGTTCTTCTTTTGTTCAAATTCACTTTCTAAAACTAATAAATTCTATTTAGACTTTTCTATGTATCGAAATGGGAAGCTCTTGTGTGATCAATGGATTTTGGCCAAGGAAAATATTAATGCCCAAGAGATTATACATTTTGGCACGTTTAGCTATAAATTGAAACTATAAAAAACGTGAATATTGATGGAATTTTAAACCTAAAATGCATCTAGTATTTATTGTTGCATAGAGTAACTCATGAACCAAGGATTCAAATGTAATAATTTTTGATAATTTATTGAAAACTGTTGTATTATATTGATAAAGAAATTGAATTGTCTAATTTTTTCCTTGTAGAAATCTTGTTTAATGACAAACAGGTTTCAGAGAAACAACTAAAAGCTTCTTAAATACGTAAAAATATGTTTTATGTCTAAAGTCCATTTATAAGTCCCTCCCTATTGGTTTCACTTTCCCAATCAAATCTAAGCACATTACCTAAGATGATCAAAAAGGAATACTTTGTTATGGAGAATTATCTTGCAATTATGATATGTGGCTGACAGATGCCTCGTTGTTCCACATGGCTGCCCTGCTCACCTTTTTGTGTGGCGTTCAATCAAGGGGCGAGCAAACAAATAAATCGTTTCAGTTGAAATTTGTATAGGAATTTCAACATTGATAAGTAGTGTAATCGAGTCAAATATTTGATATATACTCGAACAAAAATGTGCATAATGTACATACGTACAGGCATACGAATTTGTGAGTTAATAAATTGCGCAAAATAGCTAAGACCTCCGGAACGTGTCAAACCACCCATACAACAATTTAAAAACGGAAACAAAAACACACACAAAAGTGAAGTCATAGACCGAAAAAAAAAACATTCAAACAAAAGCAAAAATTAAATAAAATTCCAATATGCGCAAATATTTCTAGTAGTTCCCCAACAACAAGTGTCATATAACACGTTGTGTTTTAGTTAATTTATGTGTGTTTTCTATGATGTTTTCAGGAGGTTGAACATTTACTTTCTATGTCAGGACCAGGACGTATGCTGCGGAAAGGATTCACTCTTCTGGGCGGAGACTGTGGCCACCAGCGCTGGATCCAGCTGGGTGTATAATTCCGATAGTTCCAGTAGCTCATTTTCTCTGCTGGCTAACACGATGCGGCTTAGTGGATTGAATGCCTTGGGCCACTATTTATGCGCTACGGTTTACACAAGCAACGAACTGTAACCGTAATAACTATAATAGCACAAAAAGAATAGCTAACGGAAACGATTCAGAGTCTCTTTTTCGAATGTGTCTCTGTATCTGGTCTCTGTCCCGTATATCGAACCGAACGCGGCAACGCTTTAAATTAAACTGATCACTCTGTGGTCTCTGCCCATCGGTAAATCGCTTGGGCCAGATAGTTGCCTCGCCTCCAATGCGTGTGGAGCGCTCTCAAAGATCTCTCTGTATATGGGCACTCCAGCTCTGTGCAGCTCTCGCTCTCTCTGTTATTGGTAGTCTATCATTAATAATTATTTACGGGAAGTCGCGCTTGAGGGCTGCTTCTAAGCAAACCGTTGGTAGGACGGAAAGACGACGACGAAGAAGCTGTTGCTGGTTCAGGCACTACGTCATCGTTCATGGGCAAACAACATCTTGATTGGAATCCGCCTCAAAAGAGCATAGAGAGCAAACTGATTGTTATGCACGGTACCAGGTAGGAGTCAAGGGGTATATTGGTTATAAATTCTGTTAAGAACTCACTTGCAAAACCTCTGAAGGAGTATCGGAAAATCGTTAACACACAGAGGCATGATGGGTTCTAGACATGACACAAGCATGACGATTTTTAAGCATCTTTTTGATAGTTTCAAAATAACATTAGAAGAAAGAAATGGCAGCCTCTCAATGATGAGGCTTTTTGTTGGATAGTTCCCCTATCGTTATTATTCTACCTAATGCACATAAAATGGTATCCCCAAGTCGTTACATAACTTTTAAAATAGTTTTTCTTTGGAATTCCTCAATGCTGATCATCAATTTGCATTCGCAATTTGAGCTGTGATCTTATTAATCATTTCCTTCGCTATTTATGACTAATTATTGTATAAATATCGAGTAATTTTTCGGGTATAGAACTGCTGTGCAAGATCATTGTCAGCTGGCAGGTGCTGCTGTTTTCGCTTTTGTTTGTTTTTATTCAATTTTCGAAAATTGCACCTATAAAATGTATAAGTCGAGTGGCTGTTGTCGATCTAGACAAGACACAAGATTGTGGGCAGCTAACTACGAATTCTGCTACACCCACGGCAGCAATTTGCATACATAAAAGGCGATATCAATACTAGCAGAAGCGAATGCATAATATAATTGTTGCTACGGTACGAGTATTGCACAACAAAATAAATCAATTTGAATAGTTAGTCAACAAAAAAGTAGCAAAGATCAAATCAAATGGGGACATAGAGTGCCCTCAGGTTTTGAGAAAACTTTGGGGGAGGAATACATAAACTTTGGGAGCGTAGAAGAACTTCAGGCATATATGGAATATGAATATCTCCTAGGGATGGTTCTTCATCGGTTAAATAATAGGGATACAACATCTCACAGACACTCCTTCATATGTTATCATTACCGTAACTCACCCGTTTCATCGCGACTGGGTGCTCCCGCCATATAATTCCCATTGACATTGCGCACGCGTGGCTTGATCTCCTCCTGATCATTCCTCTTCCACCAATCCTTACACTTCTTACAACTCGACCATTTCTGTCCCATGCTTAGATCTTAACTATTTCGAAACTTTGGCCAAGGCAGGGCGTAGTCCAGCTTCGAGTATAAATATTGGCAAACCGGTTGGACCGTCAATTGATAAGACTTTGGTGTGGATTTTTCTGATGAACTTGTAGGTGTGGCGATGTTTGAACTTCAATGACCGACGTGTGCGAGCTGTCTACAATTAGCTGTCATTTTACTCGTATTTTTGGCTAAAACGCACACTGGAATGCAAAGTCGCGACAATTTAAACTGTAACAGCTGGGATCACGTCATCATCAATAGCTTCGAATTGAACTGAAACGCGCCAACGTTCGACGGCGACTGTTTAGGCACCTCGATTCGTTCGGGCATCTTTGCTCAAGTGGTTTTACATATTCCAACGCCTGAGTGACCCCAGTGTCAGATAGTAGATGGCCTCGGGTGTCCAAAAACCAGACATGCGTGCGTAAATTGATCGGGGCTTTAATGGAATGGAGAATAGAAACATCTCTCCGAGGGGATCGTAATTGTGTCATGATTGACTTTTGATTTCTAGATGGTGTTGCTGCTGTTCTCGGACAGCGCCAGCTAATTGGCTCCCTAGGTGTAAAGATGAGTTGTCTGGATAGAATCTTGACAGCTTCATCGAAGCCATTCAAGGCAAATGCTGCTATGGCGGATGCTCTCGCTTGATTAGTTTCTTGGTTTCTTCTCGGCGTGAACATATTGCAGCCGGCTGCTGAACAAGGAGCTCCATTTTGACCGGTCGGCCGATATCTGCAAACTAGTAATTTACCATTTAAAGAATGATTTATTATAACAGACGCTGTCGCACTCACCTGGCCGTTTAGTTGTGCGCTCAATCTGATCGAGTTCGTTTAGTCCAGGTATTTATCCATTATATATTTCAGATTCTACGCATTAAAGCCAAAACAAGCAAAAATAAAACAAAATAGTCAACAAAAAACAGCTGATCGCCGGCAATAGATATCGATTAATTTTAGCGCAAATATGAGTAAAACTGCAATCGAAAAGTGTCGCTCGAATGCAAATAAAGAGAGCGAAAGAGAATCATTAAGAGAGTTTTAATTTAAGAGCAACACCATTTTATGATTATTTGTTAAGAGAGCCGCCAAGATAACGCTTATCTTCGAATGTTCTGTATACCCTTTGCTTGAGGTATAAAACACTTTTTCGGAAGTTTGAAGTAACTCATCTACACATACATATGTAAATAATAAATATTCTTGAACGGATCGAAACGATCCTCCAAAAACAATCTATATAAAGTAGCATATTGGTTGTCTAACTGAAAGGGTATATCAGATTCAGCTGGCCGGCATTCAAGTACTTAGGCTATAGCAAGTGTGATAATCATTTAAGCTTTCAGTTAGTTTTTTGATGCAGCTTCAGCTGGATTTCTGATGGATTCGAAATTATTAGATATCCCGCGTGATCAGTGGACAATCTTGAGAGATGTGCATGCCGGCGATCGCAAAAATCTGACTGGCTACGACTTGATAGAATACTTTATAAACTGGGCACCAAGTTCGAGTGCTGAAACAATTAAGATCTATACCACAGATGCTGATTTTCCGGACCATGGCAGATATATTTTAATTGTTGCTCTCCCCTCTTCATCGCTGATCTTTGAAGATAATTTATATATAATTTACTTGCAGCATTCTGTGGCCCAGAAGGCGTATGTTTACTTGAATACCGTGAAAGAATCTCTGGAGGAGCTCCAGTCCGCGTTGTGTATCTTAAATCTACAAACTTGGCATTTAATATGTGGCTATGAAGAACGTTTGAAGCCAGTTGTGGAACATTATTGGACAGCCAGAAGACAGCCGTGTCAGCTGGTACATCAGGACGCGCTTGTCTACCATTTGCCCAAATCCGCAATCAATAAATTTCCACGAACGTAAGACTGAAATTCCCGCCTCTGTAAAATCTTCGCTAACAATCCAAACATTTCAGAGATACCCCAAATTTATATTGTCGTAATCTCGAGCATTGGCCCTATCGCTCTGACAAGTCTCTGGCACTGATAACAGGGTTTATTAAGAACAATTTTAGTGCCGGCTTCTTTGAGACTGGAAAACTGCATGGCTGGTGCCTCAGGTGAGCCACGGTTAGGGTTATTTAAGTTGCGCTCCTCTTATATTGTTGCTCCACTTCCTCCATAGATCTCCCCATGGCAGCCTGAGCAACTTGCATGTCTTGACCGCCTACAGACGTGCAGGTGTGGGTTCCACCATAATTCGTTTCATTGCCGAAGTCATTGAAGGGACGGGCTCTGAGGTTTTGGCCACGGTTCTGCCTGAGAATGAAAAATCACGAAACATGTTTGAGAAACTTGGTTTTGAAGTTATCAATACTGTGTATTGGTCTGTAGTGCCAGAAACCCAGGTGCAGTCTATGGAATAATATTACGTTAAATTAAATAAACTTTTCACAACGTTCAGGTAATTTAAGGTCCATCGTTCAGCCTTCACAGATTTGATTCCTTTGTTTACTCAAATAATTACAATTCAGCACACATCAGCGTTTTCTTATCTACGCATAGTTCTTCGCATTCTCTTATATTACACTTCTCTTAGTCTCTTGAGTTGCAGAATTGAGTTTCCCTGCTCTTTTCATTAATTTTTACTTTTCTTGCGTTTATTCGGTTTTCATCTATCGCTTAGGTCGGTTCTATGTCGGAGAAAATTGACTCACTGGTTGAAATACCCCGCGGCGATTGGATAAAGCTGCGGGATCTCTATGACAAACAAGAACCGAGTTCACATGGCTACATGTGCATTAATAACTATATAAACTGGGTCCAGCATGAGCCAGAACTGCCCATCAGAATACTATCGCTAAATGGCGACTGGCAAAAAGAGGGAACCTTTCTCATATCCGTAAGTAGATACAAAAGAGATGCCTTTTAGAAGAGAATTCTATTGTTTGTGTGCTCTGAATAAAGGTGGAAATGGGCCATAAACATCTTCTCTTCTTCAACACATTGAACGATGATCTGAGCCCGCTGACAAAGGCCCTGGAATGCTTGAAGCCATCAAACGATCAGTATTTGTTTTTTGGGTACCGATCTCGCTTTGACCCTGTGATCAGGCACATTGGAAAGACATTCCTCACCAAAGAGCTCAGTCTTACGGATGGCATTTGGTATTATGCCACCAAAGAACTTGTTTCAACTTTCACAATCGAGTAAGTCTCAAAACTCTAGTGTTCTCGATACCCATTTCATTGTGATATTTTGTAGGGTCCCGAATGGCATCAGACTGGACAACTTGAGTATTAAAGATGCCGAAACGGTCAACGAAATCTGGCCACATCGTCATCCCAATTCAGTGGAATTTGTTCGGCGACTAATTCAGTATAGTGAGAATGTCGGCGCCTATGATGAGACTGGCAAATTGGTGTCCTGGTGCCTGAGGTGAGACATTTGAATGATTCGTAATACGATCAATATATTACTCCTTTCCCTCATTGATAGATTGCCAGTTGGTTCCTTGGGTTTGCTGCAAGTTTTGGAGTCCCATAAACGTCTGGGACTGGGCAGCCTCATGGTTCGCGCTTTGTCGAAAAAGATCAATGACTTGGGCGAATCAGTTGTGGCTCCGGTGGTGCCAGAAAATATAGCATCCCGCACGATGTTTGAGAAACTCGGTTTCCAGCAAATTGATAAAGTCTATTGGGCCGAATAAATAGATGAGAGATAAGGAAAATAAATGACCTTCAGAGTTGAAGAAACTGGAACATGGATAACTTTGCTAATCTAACTATTGTTTGACTGCCCGATAAATGACAAGTCTGTTTTGGCTTGTTTTTACTCTTTCATTTCCTCATGTTTAGTGTATTTGAGGAACTTTCAATAAACAGAAGATAAGAGATAAGCATTTGGTAATTCAAAGAGGCATGAAAATAGCATTTAATAGCAGTTTAACTTGATAGATTGAAATATGGGAAAGCTTTATTTAAACCGAAAATTGGTGAATTATATTTCATTATTATTAAAGTGTTGTTTGAAAAAAATAAATATATTTGAAATATAATAAATGAAAATATGTGACTTCAACATTCAGAGATTCCTTTGTTTCCACTTGCTAAAATAAAGAAATATCCACCAAACATCAGCGTTTTCTAATCTAAGCATAGCTATTCGAATTCTCTTATACTTATTCTCTGAGCTCTGGCAGAATATAGCAATCAGAATTTTCATGCTCTTTGAATTCAATTCATGTTCTCTATTGTTTATTCGGTTTTCAGCTATCGCTCAGGTAGGTCCCATGTCGGCGGAGATGGATTCATTGGTGGAAATACCACGCGGCGATTGGATCAAGCTGCGGGATCTCTATAACAAACGAGACACTGACCCACATGGTTACATGTGCATTAATAACTATATAACATGGGTCCAGCAAGAGCCAGAGCTGCCCGTCAGAGTATTATCGCTTAATGGCGACTGGCAACAAGAGGGAACATTCGTAATAGCCGTGAGTATAAATGAGATGCATTTTATAAGAGAATTTTATTGTTTGTGCGCTCGCAATTAAGGTGGATATGGGCACTAAGCATCAGCATCTCTATTTCAACACACTGAGCGATGATTTGAGCCGGGTGACAAAGGCCCTGGAATGCCTGAAGCCCGCAACTGATGAGTACGTGTTCTTTGGGTACAGCTCTCGCTTTGATCCTGTAGTCAGGCACATTGGAAAGACATGCCTGCCTAAAGAACTCAATTTTGTAGACACCGTTTGGTATTTTGCTAGTAAAGAACTTGTTTCCACTTTCACCATTGAGTAAGTAACAATCCTTCAAATTTATAGACTCCCACTACATTTTTATATCTTCTAGGACCCCAAGTGGCATCAGACTGGACAGCCTGAGAATTGAAGATGCCGAAACGGTCAACGAAATCTGGCCACATCGTAGTCATAATTCTGTGAAAGTTGTCCGGCGACAAATTCAGTATAGCGAGAATGTCGGCGCCTATGATGAGACTGGCAAATTGGTGGCGTGGTGCCTGAGACTGACAATTGGATCTTTGGGCTTGCTACAAGTTCTAGAGTCCCATAAACGTCTGGGCCTGGGCAACCTGATGGTTCGCGCTCTGTCGAAAAAAATCAATGACCTGGGGGAACCAGTTGTGGCGCCGGTGGTGCCACAGAACACGGCCTCCCGCAGTATGTTTGAGAAACTCGGTTTCCAGCAAATTGATAAAGTCTATTGGGCCGAATAAACAGATCAAAGATAAAGAAAATAAAATAAGAATAATGAATAAAAAAGTGAAGAATCACAAGTGCCATTGCTTACAATTATAATATAAATAATCGTATTATTGTTTGATTGGCCAATAAATGAGGAGTCAGTTTCTGGATTTGGTGTACCCTATTTCTTTTCGTTCTGTTTATAGAACTTGAGGAAATGTCAATAAACAGAAGAGGCGATAGCTAGGCAGTAATTCAAGGGGGCCATAGTAACAGCACATAATGCCCGTTTAATTGGGTTAATTGAAATACTTTTTAAGCTATCTAAAATAAATATAATTAAATTTGCATGCGTTTGTATATCCCTTCTGGACAGAGATTGTTTGGATGATACGAGTGAATCATTAAATTGCAGTTGGTGAGTCACTCAAACGTTTTCGTTTTAATTTGCAAGCCAAAAATTGTTTTTCGAAGTGACAATCAGAATCGCGTGACAAATTTAATTCCAACTTTGTTAGTTTGATAATGGGCAGTCTTTCCTACAAAACCTCCCTCACGAGAATGGTTTAAAGACGTTAAAGATTAATTTGGACAATAATTAATTGTTCTGCTGTAAACTTTTATACGAAATTTGAGTAAAAACCCATTTTCTTTATTTTCCCGAAATAGTTTGTGGTCTGATTGCTTCCTACTCTTCTACTGCAGCTCAATGATTCTAATAATCCCCGTTCTTAAATGTTCTTAATTATTTGTAGCGGCTTTTACCAGCATCATCGATTGAACTCATTTCCATATAATTCTTCTGCTAAAATGGGGAAACCCCTAACTTTAACGCAAAAGCTACTGCCAGAAGCACCCCAAAAGGCGACACAAACTTTCCAGTGACGGTGCCGCAGAATACACATCTAACATAAATCATATTATAAACCTAATAAATATTTAAAACATTTACTCTAACTCTTTGTGTACTGGCAGGGAGAGCGACAGAGAACACATTAGTATGCACGTCACATGAGTTTGGTCGGGAGAGACAGAGAGCTTCAATGGATTTCCGCTACTGGTTTCGCAGAAAAATGTGGGAGGCACCGGCACAAATAATGTCTCACCCGTACAGCCCAGAAAGTACCCCGATCATGGCAAATCAATAACAAGTGCAGACAACCCCCATCGGATGGCATCAATGTAAACAAAGTCGTGGGTAAACCCACACCAGATGGCATGAGTATGAGTCGACAGGCCAAACATATGAACAGAGAGGAGACTCAATTACAGGGCCATTACAGAGAGAGAGAGAGAGAGAGAGAGAGAGAGAGAGGCATTGAGAGCGACTCGGCTTGAAGCCGAGTTCGCATGAACAGTTCGTCTGAAAGCTGATAACAAGTTTACGATTCCGATTCAAGTTTTATAATGATTCGCGCTGAGCGTTGGCAGTTTAGTTGTCTGATGCCTGGTGTTGGCAAACGTAGCTGCCTCGATCGACATTCGCGATTCTAAGCTCGCGGTCTCACACATACTACCAACGAAATATACTATATATATAAATATATATATATAGATTTAACTGTGTGTTTATTTACGGATTCACTGATCCGATTAGACTCAAAGATTGTACTATTAGTTCTACAATATGTGGCGCTTACTTTTGGCACTTGTAATTCTGATGAGTGCGGTCAGATCAGAGACGGATCTGTGGCGTACTGATCTTCGCAGTCCCGAGACCCAGGCCTACATCATGCGGCTGCAGCAAGAGCAGGCGCAACAACAGCAGCAGAAAGAGACGCTACAGCCACCGCCATCGCTACAGCAACAGCAGCAGCAACAGTCGCAGCCCGCAGAGTACCGGCCATCGCCCGACCTTGTCAACATGACAGTGAACATTCGCACAGATCCAATAGCTGGGAGTGCTACCTGGGGTAGCTCCGCTTCCGGCTCATCCTACGTGGACGTGGCCAGCTCCGATCAGATAGCTCGCAGTGTCTTCAACTTCGCCCAGAACCTGGCGAATCAACTGAGCGTGAGATATCGCAAGACCGAGATATTCTCGCCCCTCAGCATTGCCTCCTCGCTGGCCCTACTGCTGCTCGGCGCCAAGGGGCGCAGCTACCAGGAGCTGTCCTCAGTGTTTGGCACATCGGATACCATCAAATTTCACGAGCAATTCGGACTGATGCTGCAGGATGTGCGGCAGCCCACAATGGAGTTGGTGTCCGCCCAGCGGCCACAGGTGCCGTGGCGTACGAGTAGTGGTCGCCAATATCGACGCTATCTGCGACCCGCACCCCACGAGGTGCATCTGGCCAACGGACTGTTCACCCAGGCGGGCTACACGCTCAATGCCGGTTACAGGTGAGGTTAATTATCCATAAACTGGATCCCCGAGTTCATGTTGGAGATGGGAAATGCCAGACTATTAGTGGTTGCCTTGAGCAGCTGCGGATCCAGCGGCAATCTGGAATATCAAGAATGATTCAGCAACGAAGCATGTAAAGTAGGGTTGGGAATTGTTTGATTTTCAAATACTCACAAGTAGGGAGATGTCATTGATGCCCCATTGATGTCACCTATCTGTCAAGTTTCAATGCAGAGAAAAGTGCAAAAACAAATCCTATATAAATTGATATAAGAGAAAAAATGTATACATTCCACAAAGGGAAAGAAGTGTTTCAAAAGTCATACGATTATCAGAGAACTTTCCCTTTGTTTTCCAATTTGTTGAAGCTCAGATTAAAATCAAAAACGCATGCAAATATTAGTTTTCCTTGAAGATAGGCATTCAGATCAGTGGGAAGCTAGTTATTGGCAATGCATGAACACAGATAAAGATTAAATCGGGGAGATCTATGAAATAACTACCGGCACGTTTGAGCGGAAAAACATTTGAAGATTAAATCAACCGAGTTATCAGCAAAACTTGAGGAAATGATCTTGCACTACGTAATTTACAAACCCACCGATAATTTCTTACTCATGTTTCCTTTTTTCTTTACATTTACAGTCAAGTGATCCGCGATATTTATGGCTCGGATCTGGAGACGGAGGACTTCGAGGCAAGTCCGGCCAAGGCGCGTTACAACATCAACAGTTGGGTGGCGCAGCACACACGCAACCATATCGAGAGCATCATATCCAGTGATATACCACAGAGCACCCGCATGATACTGGCCAATGCCCTGTACTTCAAGGCCTTCTGGGAAACGGATTTCCTCATGTCGGCCACCAGGCCGGACACTTTCTATCCAAATGGCGAGGGAACTCAGCCGGCGCTGACTGTCTCGATGATGGCTACCGGCGGCAGTTTTCCCTATCACGAGGACCAACAGCTGGGCTGCAAGATCCTGGGCCTGCCCTATCGCGGCAACCTGAGCACCATGTACATCATTCAGCCCTTCAAGTCGTCCGTCAACCAGCTGCAGATGCTGCAGCAGAGACTGAACGCGGACGTGGTCGAGGACCTGATCGGCAAAATGGTTCGCCGCACAGCCGTAATCGCCTTCCCCAAGATGCACATTACAGAGTCTGTTAACCTGAAGACCATGCTCCAGAAAATGGGCATCGGCGGCATCTTCAGCACAGTCCAGAGTGACCTCTCCCTCATTGCCACAAGTGAGCCGCAGTTGCCGGGTAGTGAACTTAGTAATAGTCCGAGGGGCAACGGCCTTCAGAGTCTGGAGGCCCAGCGACGCGCCTCGCCGGCGGCACGCTCCGATCTCGTCGTGGATGACATTGTGCACAAAGTTGACTTCACCGTCAACGAAACGGGCACGGAGGCAGCGGCGGCGACGGTCACGTACCTGAAAAAATCCGGACCCGATGTGCTCTTCCGGGCCGACACGCCTTTCATTATTTTGGTGCGCCATGATCCAACAAAGCTCATCCTGTTTTACGGAATCATCAATGAGCCGCCAACGGCTAACTAGGTTTCGTTTCAAAGGTCAAGCAATTAGTGCATAAGATCGTTGACTTTTTCGTTAGTCTCTTAAGAAGCTATTTAATATGATAATAAACTAAGTAAAATACAGCGCAACAATTGGAAGTTAATTTTGGGCTTAAGCTGGGAACTATATTAAAGATATGAAATTACGCCGCGAAACACTGATTCTTCGCGGCCATCTATCGAAGAACTTCCATGAACAGAACGAGCTTCAACAAAAGCCCGCCAGGGGGCGCAGCAATTTTTTTTGTGGTTTAGATGTACCATTTGATCAATAAAATATCCAAACAAAAAATGTACCAAAACGAGTGCAGTACGCTTTCATGGCATGTTGTGCTTTTTTTGCACACTGTTCGCTACAGCTCAATAAATGTACTGTAAAATGGGTCTGTTTCTGCTTCAACAAATTGTCATATCTACAAATCAACAATAACTAAATCTATGGGCGTTCCCTTACACATAAGTACATCTACATACATATGTAATAGACTGCTAACGCACCTTTAAATAAACCAATTCGCGAACAGAGAAAACAAAACAGCGAAAGAAACACAAAAACGATAACGAACAAAGAACAAATTGTGTACAACATAAATAGTATTGCAAATTTTTCTGTCCTCTGGTTGTGTTTTACATCTTCAGCATCATAGACGTGCATCCATTTGGCAATCGACACAAAAAGTATGGAAAACGGTTGGGAAGTAAATAAAATGTTTGAATTATAAGCAAACAGTGCACTGTTTCCACTGCAGTGGAAAACGAAAGACACCCAACCCACCCATTTAGCTTTCACTTCAGATGATTATCTTTCGGACACTTTTCAACATTTTTCACTCTCTAAAGAAGAACACATTTAATTTTGTAACTTCTGCTGGAGATTATACTTCATTGATAAATCATCCATTCAAATATCCAAACATCTTTACGTCGAGTATGGCTGCTACTTTCCGCATGTTACTCTTAATCTCATCAACTCAATTTTGTATATTCCCATACTATTTCTGCTGCCCACCGCAGCCATAAGCTCGTTTAATCCCACCTTTACTCCCGAAGAACATCGAAATAAGATCGTTGCATATTCAGGGGTGTCGATCGCTGCTTCGTACGGCCGCATAAATAAATATTCTTTAATATTTTCATAAATGATGAAAGCAATAATAACAAAGTATATAAAACAAATATAAATAATGCATACATATTCGTACAATGACGAGCGATTACTTTTCCCGCACATTATTGCTGTAAAAGCTACAAAAATTGGTCAATGATGGTTAAGAAAAAGATCAATTTTCAATAGACCGAATCTAAATACCTGTTCATAATTGTCAAATCCCCATTGCATCCCCAACGCATCAAAGGCAATATACAAAATATTTTCATAATTAATCACATTGATTTATGTGATTTTGCGTATTTTTATGACTGTTTTTATTTTCTCCCTGCGCCCATAAATCAGATGCAAATGTTGCAACTGCAACCAGTTCCTGTTTAGGGGGCAGAGCTTAAGCGGCACAATGGACAAATTCAATTATTTCTGAACGCTAATTAGTCTCGAAACTAGAGCCATTATGATTATTATTTCTCCTTGCCATTTACACAAAAAAAAAATCAATTTATATCTTAGTTAATTCGCCCGGTCGCTTGTCTTACCTTTTATTAGAGCGGTAATCCTGTTACCGCTATTACTACGACGATTATTAACACTACCTATATAATTTACTGTGATGACTGGCCGAGACGGTCTTTACTCCGGCTGGAGTCACGTTGCCTACTGTAAAAACTACGACGAAACAAAGGCAAAGGCAACAGCCCGGCATGACATCTGTGATTCGGTTTAGTTTCATTTTGCACACCCACAGCAGGGGGGAATCAATTCAACTGTGCCATTTTTATGACATTTTATTTATCAATCCACTCAACAAGGAAACCACTCGTTGGATTATAATTTTAAAACGAGATTTTATACAATATATTCCACAGAATCCGCCAACATTTGACACACAAGTTTTTGATTTATTTATTTTAATGCATTTAAGGCGATCGCAAACTCCAAACTGATTGAAGCGCAGCAAACTTTATGCCAGACCTCTAAAGCAGGGCCAGTTGACTATTATGTATAGGCATCGCCAATTATGTTGCCCCAATATTATGTCTTGGACACACTTCAATGGCTACAGCAAATGTGGAAGCATAGGACTGGGTGTGTGTTCGAACGGAACGATACCAATTAGGTATTATGATGAATACCACATAATTGACTCTGTACATAAATGGGTAACATTGAAAGTGTTTGATGTCACAGGGAGTAAACGATTTTTTAAATTTCTAAGGCGAAAAGTTTTAAACATTTAGAAAATTATGTGGTTTGAATATTGAACATTATGTCGAGGGGTAGTCGCTGTTGCTGTGTTGCCAGACTAGACGAGTTCATCACGTAGTTGCAGGCCTCGGCAATAGAGTGCAGAGGAAATTAATTTGCTATGGCGGCGAGCTTTTGTCAGATATAATATTAAGGGCAATTCTTTCCTAATGGCGTTTCTGCCCGACCGCTGAAATTCTTATTTTTCTAGCGATCTGGTGACCATCAATTATAACAACTTAAGCAAGTGGTTGTAGGTATAACAGTATTGACGCTGCTAGATGGCAATCAACAGCACCCGGCGCTCAGTCAGAATAAGAATGTGCATATGCATACAAATGTATACATTTGCAAACTTATAAATTATGTCGGGTTTTATTTACTTACATTTTATTGCCACATACATATTGGTATATTTTTGCGGGCCAGACGGTATATTTCATCGAAAACTCCGCGGTCACACTGCTCACAACAGGCGGGTAAAAAAAACATAAAAATAAAACCCCAGCAGGGGCTATAAAAGCCAACCGCAACATCCGAAAGCATCACTAAAACAAACGCGCACCAACGAGTGACAAGACAGAACCATCTGTGTGAGATACAAGGTATAAAAACAAGAGTTAAAGTCGAGCTAATTGCCGGTATTTTCTTGCATAACAAAAGAACAAATAAAGAAAGACAATCGACATGCAATCCGTGGCCAAACAATCTATGCGGGCCCTGCCGCAGGTGGGCAAACAAGGTGTGTGTGATTAATCCTCCGCTAGTGTTGGTTGACAATAATCCATCTCCATTTACCTAATTAGTGTGCTACCTGTCGACGAGCAACGCCTGGCGTGCAACAGTTGGTGGAGGCAACGACATGGTCGTTGAGATCACAGAGCCCAAGACACGGACCGAGAAGCTGATGGCCTTCCAGAAGAAGCTGCGTGCCAAGACGCCGCTGGGCAAATTGGATGAGTTCTCGCGCCATCCCTACCAGGAGAAGGAGCCATTGAAGCCGTGGCCCAATCAGACGAATCCGTACACAGGCGAAATCGGCGGGCCCGCCGGTCCGGAGCCCACACGCTATGGCGACTGGGAGCGCAAGGGTCGCGTCTCCGATTTCTAGTCTAGTCTCCCCACCCAAAAAGTTCCTTTAGCTAGCATCTAGGCTGTTATTTAAAAATTACAATTAAGAATCAAAGCAAATCACGTATACCCGAACCTTAATATTATTTTTTTAGTGTGTAAAATAGAAATACAAACATTTTACAAAGAATACAACATTGTTTTTTGTTTAATTTGATTGGTTCTCTAGCAGTTCGGAGACCAGATGCTCGCTGAGCTGCCACAATTGCTGCTGCAGTGCAGCACTCTTGGAGAGCTTGCTGGGCTCACAGAAGAAGCAATTGTTGAAGTAGAGTCCCGACAAGCCCGTCAGCTCGTTGGCTGTGGCGCAGTAGATGCTGGTGGCAGCCGCTTGTTGCTGTCGAGAGAATAATCTTGCAAGTGAAAGTCAATTAAATTAAAGGCGCATTTCTCTTGCTTACCAGGGACTTGGTGAAGATTCTCACGATGGCAAACAGCCAGCGGTAGAACCAGTAATTACGGGACAGTTCCGTGGAGACCATATTCCCAGGATGCACAGAGAAAACAGAGATTCCGCGTTGCTTCCAGCGCTGCAAGAATGTGTTAATTTAGTGACCTAATTTTTTGGGACAAGTTCGGGCGTGACTCACTTGAGCCAGTTCCTGGGCAAAGAGGACGTTGCACAGCTTTGCATTGTTGTAGGCCATCATGCTCCAGTATTTCTCTGCTGGTGGCGACAAATGATGAACGGCCAGATTGTCCACAGGAAGATTGGCGAACCTGAACAAAGGAAAAGAAGGATTTTTATAATCCAAGACGCATTTGTTTGTTTAGCCCAGTTATTCCAGTATGGATCAGGCATTTATTATTCACCCCGCCGTACCCATTGGACTTTGCTCACCCTCCCAGTCAACGCCAATCGCTAAACGAGTCTTGATTGGCATTGTCGTTGTTCTTGTGTTCTTGCGTTTAACGCTCGTTATTAATGAGATGCATAAAGTCAGAATCAACAATGTACAGGGCATTGACAATGACTAAGACCCCTCCTACGGTTTCATATGTATCTCGAAATGCACCCAACAATGGGCCACAACAAGTGCCTGGAGAAAGAAAGCCCAGACAATAAACTCTGATGCCGCAAGGACAGTCGGAAGTGCACATGAAATTGAACTCATCTCAGAGTCTGTTCAGAGGGGCTTCATCAATGGCGAGGGAGCTGAAGCCCCGTTCTGGTCACGTGTAGCGCATGCTCAGGGCGCATAGAGCCGCCACCAACATGAAAGTTCTGATTCGCGCACATTGTGGACTTTGGATTTGTTTTCATTTTTAGAATTCCCGACCAGCGCTCTCGGCTTGTGGCCCCAACTAAACAGCACAGAACAGAACGATCGCTGTAAAAATAACGTCGCAAAACTCTATGCAAATTTCAATTTATTTATACATTGCTGCTTTCTAGATATGAAAATGGAACTCGTTGTGCTGGCTGGCGGCTGTTGTTCGGGCTTGTGGGAGTTAATTGTTGTTTGGGTGTTGCGGTAGGTACTGGCCGAAACGACTGTTCGTGTTGTTTAAAGCACTTGCACTTGTTTGTACTTCTACGGAATGGAACATATTTAAACAGACGTGCAAGCAGGGAATTAATTATGCATATTTCATTCCAGCATGT